TCTGCCTAGGTACCCCCTTCATAACTGTACCTTTTGTTTTATTTCACCACTCCAGGTTCTTCTGACCATAATGAATCACTTCACACTCCTGAGCATTAAATTTTATGTCCATTCCTACAACTGGTCTTAAATCCTTTTAAATTTTTGCACTATTCTCGTCACAAATGGTTCACAATATTTTCAAGTTTCATATTCTACACAAGTTCGACACTATGCATAGTACACCAAGGTCGATGTAAACATATATTATCAGGAAGTGCAAGAGTCTCAATATCAACCCCTGGGGAACTCCATTTAAACCCCCATGTCCCAAAGGCAACCATTAACCACTCCAGTTTCCTGTCAAGTCAACGTCATATCTACGTTCCTACTGTCCCATTTATTCCATGAGCTTTAACTCTGCCCACAAGTCTATTGTGAGATATTTTTTCTGGAAGATCACAAACACATCAACAGCTCTCCCAATAAATCGATTCTGTTACATCAAGAAAATTCAGCAAGTTAAACACAGTTCCCGATTTAAAAAAAACACAGACCTAAAATATTTGCTGTTTCTCTCTCTGCAGATGCTGCCAGACTGACAGAATGTTTCTATTTACTGAAAGCAGTCCAACAGTTTACATAGTTACAAACGTTGGTTTGTGCCAATAATCTACGTGACCTTTTACAGTCATACAGCGTTTGTGTACTTGTCCTGGAAAATCAGGAGCACATGCTGATTTCCTGTAAAGAAAAGCCATTGGCAAGATTAGTGACAGGCTATCAATTGCACCAAAGTGTTAAAATTCATTTCAAATCAAGATCCTGATATAGGCAAATTTGCATGTTATCAATGTTATTGTTAGGAATTTAGCAGGAAGTGAAGAACACAGTCATTTATAAAAAAAACATAACCACCATAACTGGTTTTGAAGAGGATAGTAGATTTGGCTGAAGCTCCATATCTCTATCTGGTGCAACTCTCTTTTCATATGGATGTTGCTATATCCTAAACAAACAGAAATCATTGAGAACTCAGCAGGTCTGGTAGTTCTGATGGGTCACTGAACCCAGAACATGAATTGTACTTCAATTCCACAGATGCTACCTGACCTGCTGAGTTTAAACAGTGATTTGTTTTTGTTTCTGATTTCCAGCTTCTGCAGCTCTTATGTTTCTGTTGTTATACCACACTATGCTTAAGATATAGTGAAAATACTGACGCTTAGCATTGAGTAACCCTGTTCATCAGGCAACTGTTCTTTCATATTTGTGATCAGTTCATGACTTGAGTGAGCGGAAGAGAGAAACCAAGCAAGTACCTTTGTAGTTGAGATAGTAGGAACTGCAGATGCTGGAGAATCCGAGACAACAAGGTG